CCTCCTCCTCCTCCTCCTCCTCCTCCTCCTCCTCCTCCTCCTCCTCCCCCTCCTGCCTCCCAGGCGACCCCCGCGGCTTCCCCGAGGCCGCGCACTGACACGAATCACCGTCGAAACACGACATGATGGCTCAGCCCAAGACGCGGACCGCAAAAAATGACTGCAGGGGCTCACGGCCACCAGCAGCAGTAGGGAGCTGAAACTCAAGAACTTTGCGAGAGGACGACACGGGGAAGTCTAATCACGGACCTGAGACCTCGCTCGACAGAGACCCCTGGACGCTTCGGATGCTTCCCCTTGCAAAAGGCCGACCAGGCACTGTTGGCCCCGTTAGGCTTAAGCAACTCTTTACGATTTCCAGACAGGTTGCGAGGCTGGCCGTGACTGGAATACGCAAAGCAACGGGCACACACGATCAGCAATGTATTGCCGGAACAGACAACAGCAATGCATCTGTGCTGCCTGATGCACAGAGCACTCGGATCGATGAGGGCAGGCTTCGAACACACCCCAGGAGGAGGAGGAGGAGGAGGAGGAACGATGCGAGAAGGGCCCACCCTTGGAGCAGGATGGGGGTCTCTCCCTCCCTTGGAAACTTGCAGGCAAGTCCCACATTGCCAAACAGTAGACGCACGAACCCAAGACCGAACCCCCTGAGTCGTCCAGAACCACTAGGAGGAAACGTCAAGGGGGCGAGGAGGATGAGGAGAAGTAGGGCAGTAGAAGGTGAAGGAGAAGGGGAAACAGCAATAGTATTGTTACTAAGAAGAAGCACAATCACACTAAGACAAACAATGATCACCATTGTATTCCCAACCAAAAAGCTAGCACGGTTAATGATTATGATACGCATGATAACACTACGCGTGTTAAAAGCGGTACTTACCAAAATGCGAGCGTAGCTCCAATTACTCCGACGGTGGGACCCCTCATGATAACATGTTTGGGCTTGCCCAGGAGTCTCCTCCTTTCCCCTCCAACCTCCTCCGCCTGCCTTCGCCTTCTCCTCCTGCCTGCTCCTCAGCTCTTGTGAGCTCGTCGATTTTTCGGACTGCAAAGACGTAGTGGTGCAGGCCAACAAGCCTCCTCTCGTCAAAGCCTTGAGCTCTAAACGCCCGGATGCAGGATTATTGCTTCCCACACACCGTAGAGTATTTGATGGAGTTTTCAAAGTGAAAGCTCATATTGCCGACTCCTCCGACCTCAGCGACCACGAACGATTCCTCAAGGCCCTTGGCTCAAGTCGGTAAATGACTTGGCCGACGCCGTCGCCAAGAGTTTGTTGCCTCGTCACCCTCAGCCGAACAAGTAAGATATTGGTTGGTTAGATCGGGTTTTACATATTTCCATGGTTGTCGCCAACCTGTCCTGTGACGTTATGCCAACCTGGTCTCGTTTGCAGATGGAAGGGGTGCCACTCGTGAAGAAGCCTCGACGGAGTCAGCCTGGACCAGCAAGGCCGCCTCACTCAACAACCTGTATCCTCGAATCATCACCCTTCCGGCTGCTGCTCCTCTCCTCCCCCGCTCCCCTCCTTATCCACCCTGTCCTCCGTCGTCCTTTCCTTGCTCCATTCGCATTATGGTTGTAACTCGAATCCGCATCCTCCACATCCTTTTCTTCGTGTCCTCCTCCACGTCTCCTCCTCACACCTCCTCACTCCTCCTCACTTCTCCTTACTCCTCCTTACTCCTCGTCCTCCTCCTCCTCCTCCTCCTCCTCCTCCTCCTCCTCCTCCTCCTCCTCCTCCTCCTCCTCCTCCTTCTGTTCCATCCCTTGTCCTTATAAATAACTCCACCATGTCGCAACCCGAGGCCGGTCGAAAAGGCGGGCCGGGCGTTTCGCCCGAGACTTCCTCACCACTTATGACCATGAGGCTTACAAGCTGGCAACAACTTCACAGATGGAAGGCGGGCCGTTTTTCCAAAATGTGGCTCTCGCCCTAGCGCCGCGAACAGTCGTTGTGAAACAGTGTAACAACTTCACGGATTGCGGGCGGGCGGCTTTGAACATGTCGTTCTCGCCTTAGCGCTGAGCACAGTTGTCTTAAACAATTGCAAGAGTTTCACAGATTGAATGCGGTTCCGTTTCAAAATGCGGCTCTCGCATTAGCGCCGCGAGCATTCGTTTTAAAACATTGCAAGATCTTCGCGGATTCGCATGGCGAACGTACCAACATCTGCGTTTGGGAGCGATTCGTCGCAACAGTGATGTTGATTCGCGGTGTGGAAGTCCCAGGCATAGTGCTCTGGCACGACTCAGGATCGTCAATACGCAACAGTCAAGTTGATTCGTGGCGCTGGAGTCCTGAGTGTGGTGTTTTGGCACACTTCAGGATCTTCAAGACGGTCCCCCCGTGGAAATGAATCCTTGTATGACGCCTATGGAGAGGGAGCTGGAAGGGAGGGTGCATCCTAACATCGTTGATAAATCTTGGGTTGGCACTGGCCCTCCTCCTCCTCCTCCTCCTCCTCCTCGAACGAACCAGCGCGAACCCGAGGACGGGCCCGCACAAGGTCCTCCTCCTCCTCCTCCTCCTCCTCCTCCTCCTCCTCCTCCTCCTCCTCCTCATCCTCCTCATCCTCGCCACCTCACTCCTCACTCCTCACTCCTCACTCCTCACACCTCACCCCTCCTCCTTCGCCTCGTCCTCCCCCTCATGCCCTCTCTCTGGGGCAGCGGCAGAGAAGTCGGCCTGCTCCCCCTGATCCCTGCCGTCTTCGGCCTCACTGGCAAACTGCGCCTCCTCCTGCGGACCTCGCGCGCGCGCGCCGGCTAATCCGAGCCCGCGGGGGCCACAGGAAGGCTCCAGGACAGCCAAACTGGGGAAACCAAAAGGTACCGATACCGCTACTCCCCTGACCTCTCCTGGGGTGCGTTCCGACCAGGACTTCGAGGCGAATCCAGCGGCGGCGACGAGGGCCTCCCAGGAGGTCGAAAAGGGGGAGAACTGCTGAAGGGTAGCGGCATTGGTACCTTCCTCCTCTGACAAGTGAGCCCCAATTCCCTCGCGTGCCACAGCGGGTGCGCTGCCGACAGACTCAGCAGTTCCTGGCAGTCCTGGGCTGCCTGGTCAAACAGACAAGGAGCAAGAGCGCGACGACGACGAACGCGCGAGGGGGAGGGGGGGGGAGCAGGGGGAGCGCGGAGACGAAGAGGCAGGACGAAGATCAACTCGGATGGGGGGGAATTGGGAATCCCTGAGAGCCACTGGGTCTGGAGGATGTATCGGGCGCCGCGGCCGTCTGCGGAGCGCTCCGGAACGCTCCGAGGGCGCTCTGGCACGCCCTGGAAGGATGCATCCTCATTCCAGGCCTGGCTGTCACGGAACCGGCCTGGCCAGGGCCATCCTGGGCCCCACCCAGACCTGCTATCGCTGCGAAGAGGCCACCACGGCAGGTTTTGACGAAATGTCGGACGCTGTGGGGGGCCCTTGCAAGGTTCTGGGAGGAGGAGGAGGAGGAGGAGGAGGAGGAGGAGGAGGAGGAGGAGGAGGATAGAGGATGAGGAGGAGGAGGAGGAGGAGGAGGAGGAGGAGGAGGTGGGGGGCCCTTGCAAGGTTCTGGGGGGCCTCCAAGAAGCGACTCGAGATGAAGCACTGGTCCCCCAGAAGGGGTGGAGACCTCAGGCCCACATGACACGAGCATCAGGACGTCGGGGCCTCCGACTCGGAAGCCTACAGGGCAGTGTGTACTGCATAGGATTTTAAACATACAAGATTTGCAATACATGATGAATGCATGAAAAAGTTTATGCATGAAGGCATCGTTGTTTTTAATCCTAAATCCCTGCATGTTTAATACAGGATCCGCACGCGGAGCATGTATTCAAAACGGCACTGTAAGCAAGATTGCCTGCCGGACAGACAGGACTGGACCCCCCCAAGGCGACCCAGGGGGCTCGGACGCCTCTGGCGACGCGTGGCAAGCCGAAGGCCCCCAGGAGTGCTGGGACCGACGGGCGTGGCGGGTGCGTCCGGGTCCAGTCCGACCCGGACGAGAGCCAAGAGGGGCAATAGGAAGGCACCAACTAGACACCAACACCGATTCTGGCCAGGATCACCCTAGGCCCAGGATCGGTGTATACGCCCTCCTGCCTTGGGCAAGAAGGCATATACACCGATCATGGGCCCAGGGTGATCCTGGGCCGGCATCGGTGTTGGTGTATAGTTGGTGACCTCCGAGACAAGGGGCCGAGCAGGGGAGAGAAGAGAGCGGCGTGGAGATGCGGGGGCGAGCAGGGGAGTCGGGGGAGTCGAAGGGGGAGGGTCCAGGGGGGAGGCGTATCTCAGGCAATCGCAGACATGGAGTGAGGGGGCGTGGATTAGCGACGGGCCCCGCTTCCATGGGAACTCGCACATTTCCGCCGCCGAGCGAGGCGGCACCGGCCGTATTTGGGGGAGGGCACCGCCCCCGATCCATGGATTTGGCGACCGCGCGCCAAATCCATGGATCGCTAATCCATGTTTGCGCGCCCCCGATAATCCTCTGGGGGATAGAAACTACAATATGGACACAGTGCATCCCCCCAACAGAAATATACGAGATGTACCCAGCCCATTCTTCACGCGAGGCGGCCATCAACAGGAGCGCTGCATACAAAATAATGCATCGAGACAATTGCAACGCTCTCGAACGCCTCGCCAAACAAAGTCGAGCCACACTCAACGCCCCCAAGGGGGGCGTACACCTCCGCCCACAGAGGTCCTTCGACTGTGTCCGCGTACACCTCCGCCCACGAGAGGTGCGAGAATTACGCAAGTGACAGCCCGCCAGGGTACCCGCCAAGTCTCGCCTGGGTCCGTGTACACCTCCGCTCCGCTGGACCTCCAGGGGAGTCGCGAGGTCTCATCTGGGTCCCATATAGCCCCACCCCGCTGGACCTCTCAGAAGCCCACAAAAGTGGCGACTGTTGCGCAGTGGGCAGCCCCCCAGGAGAAGCGCGAGATCTCGTCTAGGCCCGAGTACACCCCCACCCCGCTGGACCTCCCAGGAGCCCAC